CCCAAATACTCCGTAAAAAAAAGTTTGCAAAATTGGGGGTTTTTTTTTTTTTTTTTTTTTTTTTTTTTTTTTTTTTTACTTCCTAGCAAGTTTGGGAATAAATGACCATAACTGTGACATTTGAATGAAGCATGAGGCTGGAGGCAGTAAGGGCGTGTCAAACGGTAGAGGCAGCAGAGCCACAGACTGCCTCAATAATTTAACACCGTGCTCCGTCACTGCCAGACCAAGTCTATTTTAGGCTGTGGTCGGAGGAAACGAATGTGGAGATGAGCGGAGAGTGTGCAGTCAGCAAATTGAAAATAAAGGAAGCCAATAAAGATTCTTTTGTAGGTGTTGTGCATCGCAAGCATGCTCAGTATGAACAATATTAAAGCTACAAGTTGGACACATTAAATATGCAGGAATAGGAGCCTGAGCGCACGGAGATTATGAAAAATGTTTATATCAAAATAGAGTTGATTTCAGTGTTTTCCGGGCCTTGATGCACGTTTTAAAAACAAAATAAGGGTATTGGAAATGGTTGTGTTGTCAGACTTTATTCTCAGGTCCATTTTCTAAATTCTGATTCCTTCTTTACACTTGCCTGTCCTACCGCCCACACATGGGCAAGAATCAAGTCAAAACTTCTTGCAGGCCTAAACAAAAAAAAGTCAATCAATTCTTCTTTCTAATTTTTTACCTGCTCAACAATAAACTAAACATGTAATATTTTAACTTAGAAAAGTGGTTGTGGGCTGTGTAAAATATTGTAGATCAAAAATGTAAAACGGGTTTTGTATATTTGTTTCATTAAAAGAAAGAAACGCAGTTTGCAAATTCCTTCTAGCAGTTTTTTTTACTCAGGATTGACAGCTGGACTAGGTAGGGTAAGTCTTTCTTGTAAATGCTGTTTTTAGTCAAAATTAATTGAAACTAAACTGTTGCACCAAGTCCACTGTTGAGTAAAAGTCACTCGATAAATACAGTCTTATTAACTATGAAATTAAATAGGAAGTGAAAAATGTGGGTATTGCACCGATTCTTTGTTTTGTACATAACATTTTACTGTAATATGATTTTATTTTTTTGGTTTAAAAAAAAAAAAAAAAACTTTTTCCCAGATGATAGAAAAAATACTCTCCATCTGCATCAGCCTCTTGTGCTTCGAGGCCAAATTTGAATTATTTATAAATTGTGGTTTATGGCCACTCAAAATCAGTCCAGGAGTTGCAAATGGCTCCCAGGCCACATTTTGGACACCTCTGCTTCATGGGTTATTACTTTCCACCTTATTTCCTGTCTTTACGTGCTGGTGTCACTACTTCCTGTCTCGTGTCCTTTCTTTTCCTCCTCGTATTCTTCCTCGCTGCCTTGATTCTGTCCTTCCTTCATTGCTTTCCTCCACTGTGCACTTACTCCCTTCCTATCTTTCCTTCATTTCTCTCTTCCTGTCCTCTAGATGTAGCCACCTTTAATTAATCATGATCTCTTTAAATTCCAAAGTGAAGAACTGAGGGCCTGAAAGTTGAGTGTGGAAAAAAAAAAAAATCTATAAATTTAGCCTGAGAACTGTAGGAACCCCAGGGTGAGATCGGCCCAGAAGGGCGATAAAGAGAAGCAAAACTACACTGCAGCAACACCAAATGCCTCATGTGGGTTTATGCCTCGCATGCTCGCTTCTCTGATGTAAGCTATTAAGAGTCAGCGCAACCCTTTGTTTCTGCAGTATGACACAGAGCCGAGCACAGAACAGAACAGCCCATTTTTTTTCTCAAAGCTAATGAAATATTTTTTTTTCTTTTTCCCCCTCCAGCCTGGATTTGCCAGAAGCATTTGCTCTGTGCTTACAGTTATTTTAACACCAAGCAGCTTAGTCAGGGTAAACAAGAGCAGAGGACAACAGACTGTTGCAGCTCTGCTATCAGATATACACTATGGACTAAATTTGTGCTTGCAGGCTGTTGCTTACTTTGTGCAGGTTTTTATTTACACATTTATTATACTCCTTCTAATGTGCTTCAGAGGTTTTATGAGCCATTTGCCTTTTTGATGTTTTTTTTTTTTTTTTTTCTCAAACAAAACTGTGTGAGCACAAGAATGTTGAATCTGGAGGATCCGTGAAAGACTGTCGCTCTTTCCCTTTCATTATTATTGTTTGTATTAAGTGATTTATAAATGACCCGTCGTTTAGAAGCAGCTCGTGCAGGATCTCATTGCGGTATGTGGATCATTTCCTGAGTTGTTATGTGAATCAAAGACAGTAACAGCATCTGTCACCTGGCCTCAAACCAGAATGATCAGTCCCTCTGGAATGACTTTTCTGCCAGTGCTCCATTTCACATCATCTTGCTGTCACAGTAAGAGAACTGGTTTTACAGTTTCTTGCCCTGAAGACATCATGCCCAGTTTGAAGAAAGATGGTGGCAGCATCATGTTGTTTGGATGTGTGTGTGTTTTTTTTTTTGTTTTTTTTTTGAGCAGGAAATATTCTAACAATTGATGTGAAGCTGAACAGAGCTATAAAGGCAATTTAATTTTGGAGGAACTTCTGCATGTATATTACCCTCAACCAACCATGACCTCCTTGAAACTTGGAGGTGGCAGCATCATGCTGTGGGGATGCTTTCGTTCAACAGGAACTGAGAGGTGGGGCAGAACTGATGAGAAGTAAAAGTAGTTCCACGATATTATTGACAGAGGGGCTAAATTCAAATGCAATGAAATGGCAATAAAATATAGTGAAGCTAGTGGTCCTACTATAGCAAACTGTGTAACATTTAAAGCTGAATACTCTAGCAAGGCATTTAGTTTGAGGGCTTTTATCTTCGAGGGCAAAACAACAGTTTTCTTTCCTGCAGGCAGCCATTCTGTCTGTCTTTCTGTTTGTGATCTCCAGTGCCGCGATCAGTGGAGTGCCCGTCCTGGGACTGGAGGGAGAGCCGGGACTTTGATGAGCTCAGCCACATCTTGCAGGAGAGCAAAAAGCTTGGCAAAGCCCTGGAGAGCCTGTCACGAAGTGAGTGACTGCACATCAGCAGACTGCATGCGTGTGTCGTGCCCAGCTGACTCTTATACTTCTATACGCACAGTTCTGGGTTAAAGTTTCTGAATTTTTTTTTTTTTTTACATATTTATGCATGAATATAAGAGATGATGTATATATTCAAGGGTTTTTACATTTTTGCAGTTTTGGAGTGTAAATTTAAAATTTTAGGCAAAAGTAGACTAATCTGGGTTACCATAAAATAGACTGTATAGTATAACAATAATAATAAAAAAAGAATGTTTTAGATATTTGCTCCTAAAGTAATAGTGCTGTATCGTAAACATACAATATAATATCAGCTGAACCACTTGCTTGTGAAATAATGGGTCATTTAAACAGGTGAACTTTCCGCTGCACTTTGCATCTGTATCTACTGTTTATTACTTGCAAAATAATAATAAAAGCTGTTGGTACAGCTTTTTTTATTTTTCATGGTAAGGTTTCAGAAGTGTTCCTTTGAGATCTTGATCCATACTGCCATGAAAGCATCATACAGGAGCTGCAGATTAATGACCGACACCTGTTGCAGCTGAATATTGTTATTGAAATCAGGACTATTTGGACCACACTGTGCTTTTTTGTTTTTATGTGCTAAAGTCGAGTTTTAATTTTTTAGATTTTTTTTTTTGTACTTGTTCTTTTTCTTTTTTGTGAATAATAGCCTACTTTTCCTTTTCTCAGCTGATGGGAGTTTTACCCAGTGTGGTTTTCTGCTGTAGCCCATTGGTTTCAAGATTTATTGTTGTGTTCAGTGTTAGTATTCTGCATAACTTTCTTCTAACCTTTCTATCATTTTGAACCAATATGCCTGTTCTCGTCTGACATCTGATATCAATAATGCATTTTCATGCACTCAACTGCTGCTCACTGGATCTTTTTTCCCCCCTTTTTTTTCAACTTTTTGAAAAAAAAAAAGTTTAATCTTATCTAATTCAGTATTTATTATTTGGTGGTGATTTCTAATTCATAATCTTTTAAAATTAGATTATGATATAAAAATTATAATCTAATTGGAGAACATGGCATTCATGTAAGTCAGGAAATGACTACAGTTGGCGCAATTATTGAAAAATGTCTGAAACAGCTGGAACTGTGACAAACAAGGCTGAATAGGGTAAAAAGTAAACTTCAATGCATATTAAAGAACTGCAGCACAAGACGGCATCATGGGGTAATTTTTTTTTTGTCTTTTCTTTGTTTTCAAATAAACCACAATTTATTGTAAATACATGGGGGAAAAAAACTAAATGACTGAAGCAGATGATCTAAAAAGCTCTTTTGAAGAAAAACCAGATTTTAAACTGCTTTTTTTGCTTCCCTGTGGTGTTAAATTCGGCTGCTATTTTCTTTGCAGGCATTGCCATCTCAGATGAGCTTGACCAGGTAAGCAGATATTAAACGGCTAAATATTGCTAGAATGCATGTCACGATATTAAATTAAAAAGATTATGTATCATAATAGAATACCAGAGTTCTTTTTTTTTGCTTGATGAATAGTTGAGCCCAACATTATTCATTACCCTGTAGATCTGGATATAAATTGATCTTTTAATTTTTACCCTCAGGTTTCTTCTGACTGGAAGCCATATTAATATTTTGGAGTGACCCAACCGCAGTACTGACTCGAGTCTAATAGAAAGTTTGCATAGGCTGCTAAAAATTAGGGTGATGGGCAAGGAGGTCTTGCAACCTCACAGACTTTGAGCTCTCCATTAAAGATAGATCGTCGGAAACATTCAGAAGGCTGGTCACCATTTGACGAAAGATTCTTGATTGCTGAAATGACTATTTCCATTATTTACCAATGGAAATAATTTGGACATGCCACTTATTAGTATAAGGAAAACAGATGAATAATAGTTTTTCAACACCAGTACTCCTTTTCCATGGTCTTTGATTGTCTCCTATGAGACGCCTGTCTCATCATAGACGAACTTCTTGCTTGAATGAAAATCGTTTGGGAAATATAAATCTGCCAGGGCTATGAATCCTTTTGGGCTTTACTGTATATGAGAGTAACATCCCAGTAAGCATGTCCTACATTACTGTCTGCCGCTTTGCAGTGCTTCTCACTCAGAAACTTTGTTCCCCAAGTCCTGCCTTTGTCCAATTCTCTCCCAACACAATAGTGCAGCGGCAGCCGCCCAGGCTGGAGCGGCTCCATCTGGAAGCGATGGCTTGTGATGGAAAAACACAGCATGTTCCGACTAGCACATTTTGTTAAATGGGACACTGCATTTGCAGCATATTTTTGAAGGGATTACATAGAAAAATGCAGTGAAGAAGCAGAGGTGGTTTCCCCTTTATATCTAGCTAAATGTTTCTGGCCGTCTTTGGGACAGAAATCTGGCAAGTGGGATGCGTTTTTTGGTTTTTTTTTTTTTTTTAAACCGAATTGTTGTTGAGTTTCCAGCAGCTCTGTTCCTGTCTGTGGCCGTTTCAGCATTTTCTGGGGTACAACGCAGTTCAGCGTCCCCGGGTGGTGGGCGAGTGGGTCGGTCGCGAGGACACAGACGCGGACCCGCTGGCTGCCGAGATGCTGCACCCTCCCTTCCCCCGAGCTAAAACCGAAGTGTGCTGGAGCGGAGAGAACAGCCCTGTTCGAAGGTTGGTGACCCGATCTGTGTGGAGGGAAGAAGAAGCTGAAAACTTTATAAAGTTCAGTGAGCTGATGGTTATTTAAACATGAGGAGGTAGTCTTATCATTGTGCCAGCCTGAGGAATGCCCATCTGAACGGCTCTGATAATCCCATTTCAAAGGCCCGCTCCAACATGCTTGCCATGATACTGCCTCAACCCAATTTCACATTAAAGCTAACCTCATTTCTCTGCCCTCAACGGCATTGGAATTTGTGTCTTGTATTTTGCAAGTGTCCTCCACTGCACAAGATATCTGTATCCTGCATCGAACTTTCCGAAAGCTGACTTTTTAGTTTTATTTATATAGGGACAGTTTAGGTTCAGTATTTACTCTCTCACTGTTCAGTCTTGTTTTTTCTTTCGCTCACTCTCGCATGCTTCAGGTCATTAAACATGATCAAATTTCAATATCAGATGAACAAAGCCTGAGTTGTGACAGAAAGCACTTTGGAGGTGATGATGTTTTTTCTTTATAAAATGAAGCCATTAAGAATAAGTCTAGCCATTTAAGGCCAGACCTTGATTAGGCTTTTTTTTTTTTTTTTTTTTTAATTTTAGCCATTCCGAAATGAACTTGGTGATGTGCTTTTAAATAACAATTCTGCAGCCGTACCCCGTTTGCAGAATTGAAGTTTTTCAGCTTCAGATCAGAAACTAATTGCTGGATATTTTCTTTCAGGATTTTCAGGTAGCGAGCAGAATTCATGATTTTATTAGTTACTGAAAGTCACCCACATCCTGAAGTGCAAAGCTCTTATGAGTTTACGGAATACTTTTCTCAAAGGCCACATAAACATTTGCACCTTTTTAAAAATTTTATTTAAAAAATAAATAAATAAATAAATAAAACACACACATTAGGATGTGTTTTTTTTTTTTTTTTCCTTTTTTAGAAACATGAAATGTTAAAACATTAACATTAAGTGATGTCAATAATACTTTAGATCTTTTTGGTTCTTTGATGCATATCTCCACTGGTCATTCTCTGTTTATGGATGAATCTATGAGAAGACGGATAAAGAGCCAGAAGTATTTTCTATGGAAGAGAAATAACATGTTTTCTTTTTCTCTTTCTTACTTTATGTCATTATACTTGCAAACTATTCAGGCTAAAAATATCAGCTTTCCCCTATAGGAATGAATGAATATCTCCATTTTTGTGAGCCTGCTTTTGTTTCCCTCTTTTCTACTTGAAACAAGGCCCAATGTGAACCTCAAATGGCACAAAAAGTCAATTTATTAATTTATATTATATTTTATTACGTTGGTCATCATTCAAATAGGTTTGTGGGAAACAAAGGCTCAGTAATAGTTCTGATGGCATGGTGGCTGGCGTTCAGGAGAGGCACTCAAGAGTGAGTCTTAATTTGGATCCGAGTATTTTTGCATGAGTCAATTTGCACTGTGTGTGTCATATGACTGGTATGACTAATTAAAACAGGGAAAAATATAAAACCGCACATCATGCACAGGCCTCGGCTGACACAGACACGGGTTATCCCATTACGACACTGTATGGGTGGATTGTACGGGGAAATCGCTTGGTTTAACTGGGAAATGGAAGAGTGTGTGGGCTCACTTTGAGACCCGTAGAAAACCAGCGCTGCCATATCCTGAAAATGCCAGCTGAGCCTAATCACATTTCTTTAATGCCTCTAACCTTTTATTGTAGCTCAACTATCAGTGCTGTTTATGATAGAACCTCACATCCTGGGGCTAAGGACTCTCAGCCCAGCACATCTTAGGAGTTTCCCTGCTGACACACACCTTATTTACTTGAGTGAGTGATTAACGGGTTTCGGCCCTTGTTGGCATGCCAAGAAGGTAATGCAAGGATTTGAATTAGGTGTTCTGGAGCAAAGGCGCTCAGAACTTTGGGCCCTGAGGGCTAGGAATGAGAACCACTCTGAAGATTTAAGATGTATTTAGATGATTAGCTTAAATTATATTTTCTCATTTAACATGTAACAGCAACACACATTGTACTTAATTGTCTTCTTTGAATGTATTTATACTTCAAAGTTGCAAGAACAGATAACCTTGTTTTCAAGCGTCATGTTGTAACCAGAGTTTGAAACCATTAGAGCTCAGCTTCTGCAATTTGAAAAAAGACCAGGAGAAAGTATTTAACTGCACACACAAATAAGCTGAAATAATAAAGTGCTGATCGCTTATATTGGCCTATTTTCCTGCATGCTTTTTGTCTCCAGCGGTAATTCTCTTTGTCCCCGTGTTCAAGCAGATGAAACATCTGTGGTTAATGACTTGTACAGAATCAAGCTAAACCAATTTAATTAGCACAACTACCACACAGCGAGTATGACAAAGTACAGCATCAGTCATCTTTTGACCCCTTTTTATTAGCTGTAAATAGAAGTCATTAAATGAAGATTAGGATCTAATGAATACTCTTGCAGGGCTATGATCCACAACCCTCATCCAGATGGATATAGAAATACATTTTCCCAGTGTAGTGCGGAAGCTGGCCCTACAAAGAGTTTATTGTAAACGAAGACTGATTTGGGTTAGTCGGCGATAACTAAATTTTAAATGAGAAGTAGCAAAATTATTTTAAGTAAAATTGGTGGGGAAAAAAAAATGTAAATCCTTTTATTTGTTGTGCTGTAGTGAAAGGAAACACAGAGGAAGATGAATTCTGTGGGTGCATTTCCAGAGCTGCAGCCTCTCAGGATGACGAATGTTAGACATGGATTAAAAATGAACCAGGAATGAGAAATGAAGACGTATAGAATAAATATTAAAACAATAGTATACTATTATGAATGGGCTACCCGGATCTAGTGTAAGGACATTAGAACTGGTTTATGTGCTCTACTTTCTTAGTTTTAGTCTGACCTGTAAAGAGACTGTTGCAGTAATTAATTTAACCAAAGAACGAATGATATTCATTGCAATTTTGTCTTCTGGCTTCTTTTAATGCTCATTCCAAATCACACAATATTGGAGGCGCCACTGGTTTTCTGGTGCTGACTAAACAGTACAGCATTACGCATTCAGCAGAAAAACTTCAGCTTGACTTCCTGTTTGAAAGTTTTGTTTCTTAGTTGTCAGTGCCTGCGCCACAATCATCTCATCTTGTCTTCTCTCCGCGAGCCATTTATAAGAAGGTGCAATCCACCTTTGTGACACCTGAATTTATTTTATGTCTACTAAGCAAAGACTGCAGTCGTATAAATCTGAACCCAATCGAGGCAAAAGCAACATTTTGTTTTTTATTGGGAATGCTGACTTGGCAGAGCCATACGCCCGATGGATTACAGATGCAGAGGATTATGCTGACAGAACTTTCTAGCACCACAAAAACAACCAATTCAACTTCTAAATATTTTTCTAGAAATCATGTTATTTTGGTGTAATTCTAAGGCTATTTGCTCTTTTTTTTTCTGCCCCTAGCTTGAAGATGGAAACAAAAAGCAAAGGGCTAAAGGAGCAGCAGCAACATCACAAGAAGCTCTTGGCAGCCATGTTGTCCCAGGACTCCTTTGATTCGGTCAACAGTCCCGCCTCCTCTGTCGTAGAGGAAGAGATTGAGGACGAAGACGATGCCATGGAACTTCTGGGTAATGTCACAGCAATGCGCTACTTTCAAAACCGCAACAGATTTAAACTGATTTGTTGGCAAAATGTTTTCTGGTTCTTATGGTTTCAGTTGTTTTGCTCCGTTATCTCAATTCCTTTTTTTTTTTTTTTAAACTTATTTTGGATTAGTTGTAGCTCTATTTAGCTTATCCCTGTGTTCGTCTGTTTATTTTCCTCAGCTGCATTAAGTTCCCAGTGATTGTTCTACTTCAGCGTGATAAAACCCACTTGTTCCCTGTCCAACTAATCACACTCCTGTATACATACATATATATGTATGTGTATATATGTATATATATATATATATATATATATATATATATATATATATAATTTTTTTTTTTTGTTTGTTTTTTTGTTGTTGTTGTTAAATCCTCTTTGACATGATCCTGCCTACATACATCTTAAATTTGAGTGAATGTCCAAACAGTTTGAAATCCATTAGTTTACATTATTCATTTAATATTTATTTAATATTTAATTTAATTTAATTTAATAAAAACTGCTTCGACACTGCCGCAGAAGCCAGTATCTACACCCAATCAGTTCCAAGGAAAATAAAGGCTAGATTTGCTGCTTTGCAAAAGGTAGCCAACAGCATGTCGAGTAGCATTACGTCAAGGCATTTCACCTGTGCAAGCTGCACTGTAAAATGTGATCTAAAACCAGTCTGTGAATACTCAGATTGTTGACAAAGAATTCTGAGTCATGTTCCAAAAAAAAAAAAAAATCTGCTAATAGGTGAATTTGCAAATACTGGACATCAAATAGGTAGGGTTCCACACCAAGATATTGAAAACAAAGTCTTTTCAACAAATAAGACCAAAGTAGAGTTGTTGTGGCATAATGCTTCTCATACCGACTTTTTAATAAAGTGGTGGAAGGATGATGGTTGGGGCTTGTTGGACAGTATACCAAATATTTTAGGGACAATTGTGAGGGCATCTGATGGGCTGAGGTTGGGCCAGAGGCGGGTCACAAAACGGAACCAAATCTAGAATAGGATCTAACAAATCTAGAAGAGTTTTGCAGAAATGCATGCCTGCATGCTAGAAAATTAGTGAACAAGGCAACAATATGCATAGGTGACATTTACATGCTGTCAAATGGTGTCTGGTGGCAAGTTATCCTACTAGACATGACAACTAGAGAATCACTCTTTTTGATATACCTCATATATTCCTGCCATCAACCCGACTGGTGATTGATAGAAAGAGCATCTGACATTAAAACCTTGTTTCTCTCTGGTTTAATGAAAGGTGCTTGTCATTCTGTTTGTGCAGCGCATGAATCTAATGCCTGATAACAAACTGTATCTAGTGCTTGAAATACTTAATGAGCTGAAGCTCAGATTATTATTATTATTATTTTTTTGTTCAATCTGAATCAGCAGGGGTGAATCTCTTAATTAAAAAAAAAAGAGCATACATATGCACGAAAGCAGCAGGTGGCAAAAAGATCAGTTTAAAGCGTAACTAATAGCCTGTCGTTGCTCACTGGGGAAATTCGGCGTTTATGCAGACTGTCACCACGGTTAGCAGAGAAATGGCTGACATACAGAGCTACTTTGAGGAACGCCAACCACCAGCGCACTCTCTCTGTGTCTAACATGTGCTCCAATTATACTGCCTCAGTGCCTATCAAACAGTCTGAGTTATTGTTAAATAGCAAAGCACAATCTACGTATGCCTTTGGTTCCTGTACTTTGGTCATAGGTTTCCTTGCTTGTTAGTTTGCCAGACGTTTGCATTCTTTCGATGTGACACAAAACGCATGAAGGTTGTACAGAGAGGGATTTGCAGAAAAAATGTACACTGTTAATATGCGGTTTGTTTAAATTGAGATGCTAGATTATTATTTTTTTTTCTATAAAAGCAGAATTTAAACAATTGCCGACTTTAATAATCAGCCTTTGCAGACAGGATGGCTATCTGTACACATTTTACAGTACCTTGAAAAATGTTTCATACCCCTCAACTATTTCACGTTTACCATGTTTCGGCTTGTGGATGGTGTGTTCAAGATGATGTGTAGTGTTGATGTCTCATCACACATACAGGTACATCTCAAATAATTGGTGTTAAAAAGTGGATTTTTCTTTTTGTCACTTGTTTTAGGAAACAAAGCAAGTTTATTACACATAGTGAAACATTTCAAGCCTTTTTTTTGTAATTTGGGTGATTAAAATTACTCGCAGATAATAAAAACCTAAAAACACTTTTCAATTCTATTTAAATTTTTGAGGTGTACCTCTAGGATTTTTATATTTTGACCAAAAAGTAAATAATTGGGTCCCATCTGTCCAGAGTGTCTTCTTCTTCTTGTAATTGGGTAACTGGGTAATTCTTTCTCTTATAGCTTTCAGTGAAGGAACCCTTCACAGGTCAGAGCACCAAGGTCTCATCTGTATATACATTCAAAGCCCAGGACAGCAGTACATCGCAGTGATAGATACAACCATAAAACGAGATGTTGGTGGTCTGCGATAGCCCGTGGTGATCATAACTCTTGTTCTCAGCCATATTCTCTCATGTCTTTTACGCTACTGTCCAGGGTTGTAATTCAGATGAAACAATGTAGCAAGGTCAATTGTGATCCTCTGTCAAGGCCTGGTCATGGATTCTGTCTTCTGTGTTTACCGCCTCCGAGTCTGCAGAACGCATCGTCGCAGATCTTGCAAACACATGTCGGTTTAAAAACAAGAGAGTAACCCAGCAGGCTGGGCTTATAAGATGGTAATTTAACAAATGGATTTTAGTGTGCGCTACAGCTGGTAAACACAAAGAACAATGTAGTATTCAGCAACTTGTTCAAGAAGTTTTCAACATGTAACCTTGGAGTGTTTTCCAGTTGTTAGAAGCTCAAGCGTTGACGGGATGTGAGCTTTTTATATTAACCTTTATAAGTGGATTGTTTTCCTTCTGCTGTCAGCAGGCAGGTTAAAACATTTACTCGACTTCTCAAAGCTAGTGTGGTCCAAATATAGCGCCCTGCAGTCACTCGGACCTCTACTTAACTTGTTTAACCTCCTGACTACCAGTAGTTCATTTTTGTCCTCTGTAGAGTTCATTTCTAAACTTGAATATCTCCCACCCCTTTGCATTCTTCTGAATTAATTCCTTTTGGTATCTGGAGAGGACATTTAGGACTTTTCAATGATACCTCATGTGAAGGGGTGGGACTTTTGTACGTACCTTTTTCTAATTCATAAAAATGGCATTCATCAGTAATAACACATTTTATGGGAAGAGACAAAGTAAGTGCATAAAACCTTTTATTACCTTACAAAGACTGTGGGATTTTAAAAAAAAAAAGGTGATTGGACAATATTTTTTTTCCTGGTAGTCAGCTCCTTTAAAAAAAAAAAATCATCGTTGTTTTCTTCACAGTACTCTCGCACTGAAACAACTTCAGTGGTTTTCTAACCAGGGGCTTTTTCCCTTCTTTTAAAATATCTCACAGTCCTGGGTGAAAAAATAAAAATAAACCTGTTTTTTTACGGTTTCAGATGTACTCATCTTTCCGGCCGAAGATACAATCATTAGGCAGCCACTTTCTTATTGCCGTTTCATTATTCATGACGATTAATGCCAATGCTAATAGTTCTAGCTTCATTTTGTAAAATAATCAAATTGAAAGGTTTGGCATTTGCTTTATACACTTCTTTAACTTTTTTTTTTTTTTTTTTATGATTTAAGTAAATAATTCTTATTCCAATATTTTTTTTTTCCCTCCAGGGTGCTTTGACTCCCACCAGAGGCCAACACATACATGTTGGGCATATTTTGCTGCTGGGGTGAAAATTGGTATAAATAATTGCAAATAAATCTTTAAGTGTTTTCCCAGTGATTGATGGCTGAATGGAGGTCCTCTGATGAACACATTTTTCGTCCAGAACCAAAATTGGTTGGAGGCTTTAAACTTTTGCTTAGACTGACATCTAGTGGCGGAAATATTCCATCACAGTTTCTGATAGTTGAGTTGATTTTACCATTGCATCTGTTGATTCGATTAGAAATTTTCCAGCGAAATTAATCTGCTCTTTTTGTTATGTTTTTATAGATAAAACACATCCATAAACTCAAATATTCTGTATAGTGCTTCTGTGTTCTACAGCTAATTAGCACAGCATTTAACTGAAATGGCATTGATCTAGCTACTGCTGCACACGGAGAGATCCGAGGAACAAGAGCAGTCATAATGGTAAGAAAAAAATTAAATATTTCTAGGTTGTGGTTGCGATCAGTCGGGGCTTTCTGAGAAGGAAATTCAGAGCCACAATGAGCAGCAAATGCACTTTCAGATGGCCACTAGATGGCAGAAAAGTCCCACTTGCCTAGAGAGACGTAGACACACCCAGAGATTATACATTGTTTAATAAAATAAAAAAAGGTTTCAAAAGAAATAATCACCATTTCCGTGTCTTAAGTGTTTTCCATACTGGGTGTGTTTTTTCCCCCTTAATCTCTAGATTTAGATTTATGGGATAATAAGATTCTCTTGAAATGGTTGCACAGCTAAGCTTGCCAAAGTTTTCTCACTTTATTACACCTCTAAAAGTAAAGGCATGATTTGCTTTGTTCAGATTTTTCCAAGGAGAAAAATAATTGGAGCTCTTATTGATACTCCAGTTTCCCTCAGGTACCACTTCTTCTTTTTCGTTAAGTCTGCATTTAGCATTAACCGCAGTCGAAGCTATACTGGAAATTAATATGGCTCACATGTTCTTGTAGAAACACTGGATAATGACAAGATTCTAGCTTTTTCAGGGTGGCCATGAGACCCCAGTTATAAACTTATCTTCTGGAAGTTGGGGTTGTGGGATGAAACACCCAGATTTTGGCCTTGGAGCGAGGTTTTTAATGGAAAAGTCAATGTCAATGAGTTTGCCGGCTCCCTGCTGGAAAGTTACTGTAGGACTCACTCCACCTCGTCAAGATCCTCAAAATCTACATTGGTAAATATTAGTTTTAATACATTC